AGAATGTGTCCCTTAAGTTTTTTTTTTCCATTTTTTTCTATATATAAAAAAAAAACATTGACTCAATATTCTTATGGTATTATATGTCATGATCTCTAAATATTTACATTAGGTAACAACATCAATGATCTATTAGAAAAATCATAGAAGTAGGTGTTATGTTTATATAAATTATATTGATCAATGAAATGCCATAAAGTTGACTGTCTAATAAATAATACATTACGATCTTAATTACATAGCCTAAACATTGTATGAAATAATTGACACATGTAAGTATTAAGAAATGATTTATATAATTTTGTGATTTAGTTTTTATTATTATTTTTATAATGCTTATATAAGTTATTGTCATTTTTCAAAAGATAATTTCCCTTTTTTACACTTACCTCAGCCCCTAAGTAAAATTTTTATGGCTTAATTCATCACTATTGAGTTTGAGTCTAACTGTTATGCAATGCAGCTACTCTCCTATTATTCTCCTACAAATTGTAATTATTATATTATATAATTAAAAATGTTGTAGGCTTTTTGAGGTTGAAAATCTCAATCTATTTTTTTGAATATTTTTTGAATTTTATATCACTTAAAGTACACATGTCATTTTGTGATTAGTCCAAAATCTAACTTACATAAATTAAGTAAATTTCTATATCCTTTTAATTATTGCCAATATTATTTTCTTAAATTTGTAATTTCAAAGCATGTAATGACATTATTATTATTTCAGTTTCAATAGTTATGGTATGAAATCTATATCTATATTTATGCTTCTATCTATACTATTATATGTTGTTGGGTCAATAAACTTAAAACTTCTAATCTAAATATTATATAATTTTAAATTAATAAAATATAAAAATACATATGTCATAAAATCATTGATCATTTCACTTTAATTATAATTATTGACCTTTTAATTATTAGGATAATATATTTTTAATTCCGTAATTATCACTTTTTTTAGGTGGTGTAATTATCACCTTTCAAATTCCTAAATGTATGATTCTTTTATAATATTGACTAACATTACACCTGTGCTATGCACGGTTAATACATTTATATTATTTGTATTTTTTTTTAATTTCAACCTAAAATAATAAAAAAAATCATTGTGTAGCACATAGGGACAAAAAAAAGTTAAGATAATGTGAAATATTGACAAATCAAAGTATTAAAATTATTTCAAAATTAAATGTTGATCAATATGGATAATAATGTAAATTCACGCTGATTTTCCATCCAATTAGAATAAAAGTAAAAAGAAATTGAATTTGGTGATGAGATATCGTTCCAATCAGTTCAATGGTCCATAGTCCTGCAATAGTTGTCAAATACATAAATTTAGTTAAAAATTATAAATGAATTTAATTTGTTATGTTAAAAAAAATAAATAAAAAATACACACAATGTTTCACACATGCTTACCATATGGATTACGATTTGTAGTTTAAACTAAGGATATTTATTGTTTTCACATATATAAGGATATTTATTGACTTCACATTAAAATTGTTATGAGTAGAAATAGAAGAAAAAAGAGAAATTCTTGTATTTAATATATATATAATGAATAGGTACACACTCCTTTATATATGAGAGAAGATAAGTATATACATAAAATATGCTCTATAACAGATATATACAAATATATTTAACACCTCCCCTCAAGCTCAAGGTGGTAAAGCAGATATCAAGTTGAGCTTGGAAAGTAAATCAGAAAATTGTCCTGGAGGATGAGCCTTGGTGAAGATGTCAACTGTTTGACCGGCAGAGGTAACAAAGATAAGACAAACAGTGCCACTAGTAACGTGTTGCCTGATGAAGTGACAATTAATGTCAATATGTTTCGTGTGATCATGGAAGACATCGTTATGTACAATTTGAATAGCACTCTGATTGTCACAATAGAGGTTAATGGCAACAGGATAGGGAATTCCTATATCAGTAGGAAACCAACGAAGCTACACAAGCTCTTAAGTAGTACCGCAAGAGCACGATACTCAGCCTCAGTACTAGAACGAGCAACAATTTGCTTCTTGCTACACTGTACAATGAGAGAATCACCCAAGAAGAAGTAGAACCCTGTAGTAGAGCGGCGGTAAGTAAGATCCCCTGTCCAATCTGCATCAAAAAATGCATGTAACTGTAGAGAAGTGTGCTAAGTAGTGAAGACCATGGAACATAGTGCCTTTTAGATAGCGCAAAATGCAAACTAAAACATCATAGTGCGGAGGATGAGGAGCAGCCATGAACTGACTTACAATGTGAATAGCATAGGCAATGTTTGGACCAGTAACCGTGAGATAGACGCCAACTAGCTGACGATATAAAGTAGCATCAAATAATAGGTAACCATAAAGAGGTGTGAGACGGGTTTGAGGATTAACTGGAGTAGTAGTAGTCTTGCAATCGGCAAGACTAGCACGAGTCAAGAGATCAGAGATATACTTGGCCTGGGTGAGAAAGTAACTAGAAGGATCATGAGAAATTTCCAAGTCGAGGAAGTAGCTAAGCAAACTAAATCTTTTATCTCAAACTGGTGACTGAGGAACTGTTCGAGACTAGAGATACCCACTGTGTCATTGCCAGTGATGATCATATCATCCACATAGAGAAGAAGAAGAAGAAGAAGAAGAAGAAGAAGAAGAAGAAGAGTAATACCACGTTCTGTCTAACGTATAAACAAGGCCGAATCATAGGCACTGGAGGAGAAGCCAATGTCATGAATGGTAGAACGGAATTTGGCAAACCAGGCACAAGGAGCTTATTTCAAACCACACAAAGCATGGCAAAGTTTGCACACTTTGATGGATGGAACAGAGGAACCAGGCGGAGGTTACATATAAACTTCCTCAATGAGATCACCATTGAAAAAGGCGTTCTTGACATCCATCTGACAAAGACTCCAGCGGCGAGCAGCAACAATTGCTAATAAGCTGTGAATTGAAGTAAAACGAGCAACATGAGCTAATGTTTCCTCATAGTCAATCCCATACTCTTGAGTGAATCCTTTTGCAACAAGACAAGCTTTGTAATATTCAATGGAACTATTAGAATGAGTTTTGATCTTATAAACCCATTTACAACAAACAGCAGTCTTGCAAGGAGGAAGATCAACCATGTCCCAGGTATGAGTTTTATCCATAGCCTGCAGTTCATTAGTCATAGCTTGCTGCCAAAGAGGGTTAAAACAAGCCTCGCGACAGGAAGTAAGTTCATGAGAGGAAAAAGTAGTGGAACCAATAATATAATCACGGAGAAGAACAAAAGTTTGTTTTACCTGAGTCAAATGACGATCTATTGGAGGAGATAGTGGTGGGGATTGAGAAAGCTCCACATGAAATGATAGAGGAGGCTCCATAGGAGGTAATAGAGGAGGCATAGGACCATCGTCAGATATAGAAACCTCATGATTAACAGTAGGCATAGGTAGCTAAGGCGTTGGACCGGAATCTGCATTAAATTCAGGAGACAACAAGTCTATAGAAAGATCAATAAAAAATAGGGAATGGGTGGACTGTGGTAGGTGGAACTTAGACAAAGTAGAGAACATTTTGTGTTATCAGAAAACCGCATGACGAGAAATACAAAGACGCTTGGAGACTGGATCTCAACAGTGATACCCTTTATGAACTATACCATATCCCAAAAAATAGCAAAGACAAGAATGATGTTCTAGTTTAGTGTGTTCATGAGGTTGAAGGAGAACAAAGCAAGCAGAGCCAAAAACTTTAAGAGTCGTGTATGTAGGAAAAGAACCATACAGGCGTTCATAAGGAGAGAGATTGGCTATGAGAGAAGTAGGCACACGATTTATGGTGTAGACAACAGTGAGAGCAGCTTCCCCCAAAACTTTCTGGACATGAAGAGGAGATGAGAAGGGCCCAAGTAGTGTCTAGAATATAACGATGCTTTCTTTCAGCATGACCATTTTGTTGGGACGTGCTTGCACAAGAACGATGAGATTGAGTACCATGTACCCGAAGAAAAGCAAGAAAATCAGAATCCAAGTATTCTATAGTGTTATCAGAACGAAAGATTTTAATAGTTTAAGAAAACTGAGTGTGGACCATGGCAGAAAAATCATAATAAATCTGTTTAAGTTCAAACACGATTTTTGAGAAAAAATATCAAAGTATAATGAGAAAAATCATCAACAAAAATCACAAAATATCTAGACCCCCAATGGTCAGGGTGGGGGAGGGTCCCCAAATATTTGAATGCACAAGAGCAAACGAGGCAGTAAAAACAAAATTACTTTTATTACAAGGTAATGCAGGCTGTTTAGCAATTTGACCAAGTAAACAATCAACAGTTTCAGAACTAACACGGCCTAACCGACCACTAGAAACCAAAGTTTTTAAACGACTAAAAGAGACATGTCCTAAACGACAATGCCAAAGGTGAAAACAAGACACACTACAACAAAAAAGGATTTTTACGGCACCAAATGCATGTCGTGGAAACAATTCTACGATGTGCAAAGTAAAGTTGTGTTATGACCAGTCATGAAAAGTCATTCATTTCAACGGCATGCCGTAGTACGCCATAAAAAATATTTAACGGCGGATCTTGTGCGTCGTGTTTGACTTTTCTATAATTACTTTTGCACACCGTTAATTCAAGAGACAAACCATGACGCTCATTGCTAGTCATTAAATATTTAACACAATGGTCTAGTCTGCCCGTCGTAGATTTTTTTTTTTTTTTAATTCAACAGGTTCTATTTCACATGTTCTGTACAATCTAAAAAACATTACAAACAAGTTTCACAAATACATATATACATATACATATATAAGTATCAATCAACCCCCAAAATATTATTTCAAACATCAAAAAAATTATTTATAAGTTTCGAACATTCACAAATTGTCTGTACGTTACAAATCATCCAAAAACTATGTTTCTAAACATAAAAAATTGTCCTCAACTTCAAAATCATCCAAAAAGTTCTAAATCATCTCCCCTCCCCCCCCTCCCCAAAAAAACCCTATCTTCAAGTTTTAAACGGTACAAAATTTACCCATATATCTTCTTGCGAGTGCACCATCATGGGTTGATTCGATGGTATAAACACTCAGCTTGCAAAAGAACAAATTACATTTATAGATACATACTCTTTGGGATGTAAAGCCATTGCTCACATAGATTTCTTATGGTGTGTAAGGGTTGTCATTGTTTTACCTGCCAAACAAAAATCAATTGCTATCATTAGAAACTAAAAGGAGAAAAGAAACACACAAACAAATGCACAAAAAATAAAAACCAAAATATTGAGTTACTTGAATTGGCATATTTGGGTGACCAGTACTTTCAATATCTATTACTCATCTTAATTTTGAATATCTTAGCCATATCTTACCAGGCCAAATCGAAAGCCAAGGCCCTACTTGCTTCTTTATCAAATTCATTGTCTCGTAAATGAATGCACATGCCACGATTCTTCTGAATACTGTGTTTTGGCTGCACCAACATCGATTTCATTAATCAAATTATCAAATACAACGTGAAACTATAATTAAGACAGCTTTCACTTTAATTACCTAAAAATGCTCATGGTAAAGCTTGGCAACCTTGGCATGTGACAGTACCTTTGAGCAAAAGATTGTCAATGATTTTGTTATAGAACATGATACTAGTTGGATTGACTTCCCCAAATCTTTCTCCTAATAAAGCTCAAGAAGGTCATTAATCAAGTTATATGAACCAATCAAATTACGAGTAACAAATAATAACAGATTATTGGAAAATATACTAGGTAGAACTTTGGCCCATGAGATTGAGACCTTTAGATGAGACCTTCTTCAATTACCTTGAATGGAGTGAAAACATCCCGGTTGCTGAGTGCAATCCCCAACATCTTTTTTATGCAAATATTCTAATATTCTGACATGTCATTCATACTACAAAGCATTCAAGCATGCCTTATGCTATTATTCTAGAAGCTTAAGCTCTTACATACTCAGGCACATGCTACTTCCACCAAATAGAGTTAATTGTAGAGCATATGGTTGATCAAATTACCAACTTAGTTATTTAGAGTTAAAAACCAGACATAAAAAGTTGAGCTAACTTCTGTACCTAATATATGATACATCCATCATGGAGAAAGATTGAGAAATCCCATAATAGAGACTTCAACCAGAAACTACTATTGAGGGCTCTTAATGGAGTAATAATGCTAAGTCAAAAATGTGGAGTATTAAATAAATAATTACAGCCCATGATTCTCTCATGTATTGAGAAAGTAAACAAACAATGAATTTCCACAATAATTTATTGGAAAATATACTAGGTAGAACTTTGGCCCATGAGATTGAGACCTTTAGATGAGACCTTCTTCAATTACCTTGAATGGAGTGAAAACATCCCGGTTGCTGAGTGCAATCCCCAACATCTTTTTTATGCAAATATTCTAATATTCTGACATGTCATTCATACTACAAAGCATTCAAGCATGCCTTATGCTATTATTCTAGAAGCTTAAGCTCTTACATACTCAGGCACATGCTACTTCTACCAAATAGAGTTAATTGTAGAGCATATGGTTGATCAAATTACCAACTTAGTTATTTAGAGTTAAACCAGACATGAAAAGTTGAGCTAACTTCTATACCTAATATAGGATACATCCATCATGGAGAAAGATTGAGAAATCCCATAATAGAGACTTTAACCAGAAACTACTATTGAGGGCTCTTAATGGAGTAATAATGGTAAGTTAAAAATGTGGAGTATTAAATAAATAATTACAGCCCATGATTCTCTCATATATCGAGAAAGTAAACAAACAATGAATTTCCACAATAATTTAATAGTGAAGGAAAAACAGAATTTTATTCTGAACTAAAACCATGATCCTTCAAATTAAGCAATTTGAGGTTATATAAGCTGGTTCTTTCCCATCTTCAGCAGTAGTTCCTACCTTAGCTGGTCTCACTGTGTTTCATTTTAATTTTTTTTCCTTTATCTAATACAGAACTCATAAACATTGTCTTCATAGTAGGGTCTATAAGTCCCACTCTGCTTTTGAATTTAAAAATTATATTTATAAAGGTCAGATTTCCTCAACCTTGAGATTCAGGTGTTTACACATCAAGAAGTGGTCCAAATAGGAACGAATGAAAAAAAAAATAAAATTCTTACATGTTCCCTTGGAATTCTAACTTTAGATGCAACATATTTAGCAGTACTCCTTTTGTCCCCAGAAAACATATATAGGCTGACACCTTGCTTATGTAGGGATTCAACAACATGTCTAGCATCCTCTCTGATCTGATCTTTAACATAAATAAGACCTGCTAGAGTACCATCTACTCCCATATAGACAACTAATTGATTCTTAAGTTCCTCCACTTTTTGAGATAAACACTGACCAACTCCATGCCTACAGGGTTGAAAATAAGAATATAATGACAGTAGATCTAAATAAAACGAACTCTATACGTTACTTTAAAAAATAAATTGTTGCTTCTTCATTCACAGGAAAGTAATTTATGCTCAAAAGAAATCACAAAACAAATAACATTTTCCTCCATCAAAAGAAATTCCCAATGCACAGTAACGTATTCCCAAGTAAAACTCCATGTCACCTAAAATGAGGAAATCAATGACTTACATACCTTCGAACCCAGTCCACTGTCCCGACAGACACCTTTTTATTCTCAATAATTGTTACAGCACCAGACCCAGGCTCCTCCATGCAATCTGTGACAACAATATGGAACAAGTCTAAGGAAGAGAGAGACGACACAATTTAGAAGGCAAGAAGAAGAAGAGACACACTTGGTATGAAGAAGTGGATGTTCCAAAGAAGAAACCATCTGGGAATTATGATCTTTTGATGTCTTCTGCTTCATTGAAGCTCTCAACAAAAGAATGAACAGAGGAAAAAATGGGAAGAAAGCATAGGTAGAAATGGGTATGCTTTTCTTTTATTTTGGTTTGTTTCAATTTGTCAAAGATTTCAAGATCGGTGTAACTATGAAAAAGTTATGGACATTTTGGGCATATTGGCTCATCTATATATATATATTTTTCTTCATGGGTTTCGTAAAGGGTTGTTTCAATCTCACACTATGTCAAAGCACTAGACATAAATTCTATCCTGTTATTACTAACCAAGACCCTCACTATCAATTATCTAATAAAAGCCTAATAAACCATTTTTTCTTTTATTACCAATATATATAGATATACATTAGGTATATAAACTTTTCTCGAAACATGTATTTTGACACTCCTATTTCAACAAAACAATTTAATGAGGCCTTTAACTCTTTGATGTATACCAAGAGAATACTAATCCATTAAAAAATAAAGAAACTGATTTTATTTTCTACATGGTTGGAGCTGTCAATTAAAGAAATTGACAACTCAATAAAGGATTTCACATGTAAAAGTAACACAATTTAGTTCTCAAATGTGTATGCTCTACTCTGGAACTACTTTTCCAGCTTGTACTAGTATTAGATTTCGACAAATGACAAATAATACAGCTCAATCAACCAATTAAAAAATTAAAAAAATAGCTCACAAAGGACCAATGACCACCCTTCAAAACATTAGCACTATTCTCAATCAAATCAAAGAGGAAAAACATAAAACGATTATTTGTAGAGATGACCTCTCTCAAACCGTTATCCTTCCAAAGATTAAATGCATAGATCTTAACATAATTGAAATTCAACTTCCTTTCAAGAAAATGCCTAACCAGACAAGCATCTCATTTAGTAGAATTTTCCTTAGGTGGCATCACAACAACAACATCAGATAAATCAGGGGGTGGAAAATACCTCAGTTTCATAGAAGCCTTCTGGTTAGAGGTAACCACAGAAGCCCAGGTCTTTTTTTGAACAGGCTCAAGGATAGCTTGGCCTCCACCATTTGGACCCAAGCCCAAATCTGTAAAGGAAACCCATATATAAGTAGAAGCAGCAGAAAAGGCAACAGAAGTAGCAGTGGATGATGTAGATGGAATGCAAAGATGAAGAAGCTCGAACAGACGTCTATGCCTACGGCCTATTCCAAGGATCTATTTCGTCTAAGGGTCCTGTACCAAACAACCATTAGCAGAAAAGGTGACGGTGAGACCAAGTTCACACAATTAACTAATAGAGATAAGGTTTAATTTAGGCGCATGAATGTAATAAACATTAGAAAGAGATACAGTGGAAGTAGAAATTTGACCAATGTGACTAATAGATATATGAGAACCATCAGCAGTATGTATAGGGGGAACAAAAGAAGATGATGAGATAGAAGAAAATATAGTAGAATCAGAGGTCATATGATTACAGCAGGCAGAATCAAAATACCAAGAAGGATTACCTGATGTGACTGAAAGAGCAAGAATATGAAGAGTACCGGATTTGGCAAGCACCTGTTGGATAATGGACTCAACATCATCCATAAAAAAATGATGGAGCAATAGGATCAGTAGAGTGGTGAGTGCAAGAACTCTCTGATGCAGCAACATCAGTAGTAGGATGAGAACCAGGAGCAGATTTGGACTGATACCCAAAATGTGAAAACCTTTTCATGGATAAAGAAACAGAGGGAGCTCGAGGAAAATTACTTTGGAGATAACCTGGAACAGTCTTGTGACAGGTCAAGCATTCACGAACTTGGCACTGAAATAAAGAATGATTGGCAGGTAGGCCACGGTTGTGACAATAAATGCATGAACTATGAGGCTGTGAAGATGAAGAACCCCGTGATGATAGTATAGCAAGAACAAAATCCAAGTTTTGAGTTTTGAGCATCTCAAAATGAGTTTTTTCTGACACGAGTTCGGTAATGGCTTGCTCCAAAGTCGGTAAGGGCAAACGATGGAGCAAGGAAGCACGCACAGGTTCAAAGGTGCTATGAAAAGCCATAAGAAACTGCAATAGTCGCTGATGATTCCTATGAACAATAAATAACTGTGCATCCTTAGACCGTGCCCAACTAGGTTCAAAAAGAGCCAACTGGTCCCAAACAGATGACATTTGGGATAAAAAATCATTGATGGACTGACTAGGCTCTTGGCGCATGTGATGAAGAGTTTGGAGGAGTTGATATTGGTGAGCATGTTTAATAGTCTGATAGCGATCCTTCAAGAAATCCCAAATTGCCTTGGCAGGAAAGATAATGGAATCACCATCCTAAAAGCGTCCAAACTGAAGGTTAATGAAAGGAACAGAAGTAGCCCAGAACAATGTAATAATTTGGAAGTTCTTTCCTTCATATTCATCAAGACGCTTATCAAAAGCAGATGCAGTCTCTTTTTCTTCCTAGATGGGTTTAGAAAGAGCACCAGAGATAATATGCCAAAGCTGCTTCCCTTTGATGAATCCAGAGAGAGCTTGGGTTCAGAGAACATAGTTGGACCCATCAAGTGTAACAGAGACGAAATGGATGTTGTCAGAACGATCTATGATGCTCAAACAGACCAAAAAAAAGAAGAAGGTGCTTTGTAAAGGCTAATTTTGCCAAAATAGAACACACCAGCAGATTCAGAAGGCCAAAAATAGTTGGGACATGGTTTGAATGGGCCAAAAACACGACCAGAAAGGCAATGAATCGACTGGTCAAAGTGGTTTGACCAATTTGGTCAACTAGGGCTGATGTCACAGCAAGGAGGATGACGTCAACACACACGGCGCACGATAGTAAGCTGAGTAACAGCAGCGTATGGAACCAGGGCTGACATCAGAAACACGCGACATACGATAATGTGAGACAAGAGCATGAGGCATGTAGACGAGTAGGAAAATGACACAACGCATGGCCAATCTTCGGGCAGCACGTGGAGCGTCGTATGGAGATGATTTTGGTGGTATTGGCTTCATCTTGAAGAGATAAAGAAGCTGGTATAGTCCAATTGTTGAAATAGGAAAGGAGGTATTGGCTTCATCTTGAAGAGATAAAGAAGCTGGTATAGTCCAATTGTTGAAATAGGAAAGGATTAAATACGCAAAACCCAATGTGAGAAAAAAGCAATCTGCCAAAAAAAAAAATAAAGTGATGAAGAAGAAAAGGAGGCCAGGAGAAAACCCTAGACTTTGATGCCATATTATAAGAGTAGAAAGAGAAGAGAAAAGAGAAACTCTTATATTTGAAATATACATAATGAATAGGTACATAGTCCTTTATATAGGAGAGAATATAAGTATATACAGAGAATATACTCTATAACAGATATATATAAATATATTTAACAAAAATAATCAATAATTAGCCGTACAGTTAAACATACCTTCAATAGTGAAAACTTGTTGAGCATTGTAGAGAGTTAACAATGAGATAATAATGGTGGAAAAATGATAGGAAGAAGATGGTGATTTGTAGTTTGAGCTAATGAATATTTTTGTTTCACATTAAAATAATCAATAATTAATGGTATAGTTGAACATACCTTCAATAAAGAGTGAAAATTTGCGGAATATTACAGAAAGTTAACAATGAGATAATAATGGTGGAAAACAAAGGTAGAGAAAAACCGTGAAAAGGGAATAGAGATTTGTCTGGTGGAAGAATTATCTCACTTCAAGATAGATATTAAACACTTTAGAAGGTAAAAAAAATTCGGCTCAGTGAAGGTGGTCAAATTTAAGGCAATTAATTTAAAGGAATAAATATTTTAATAAAAATTCATTGAAGGAGAAAAAAATTTAAGGTAACATTTTAATTTTATTAACATAATTTAAGATAGTAAATTCGGTTAAGTGGTGGAAAAATAATTTTGAATATTTTCGGTTAAGTAGTGAAAAAATAATATTGAATATTTAGTATTGATTTCATAGGGAGTATCTAAATTTACAAATTTATTTTAACAGCACAATGAAAAATTTAAGGCAACATTTCAATTTTATTAACATAATTTAAGAGAGGATTCAAATTTACAATTATATTTTAAAAATATAGAATTATTTTATTAACATAACTTGAGGAAGTATCCAAATTTGCAATTTTATTTTAACATCACAACGAATCAGATTTGTTGAAGGTGGAAAAATTTAAGGCAACATTTCAATTTTATTAACACAAATTTATTGCAGGTGAAAAAATTTGAGGCAACATTTCAATTTTATCAACATAATTTAAGGGGTATTCAAATTTAAAATTTTCTTATTATAACATAATTTAAGAGAGTTTCCATATAAATTAATAGCAGTATTGATGGCAGCTTCCATAATGTATTATATATTATTAGTGGAATAATCTTTTTGACATATTTTTTGGTTTAGAAAGTGGGCCTAATTTTTTAATATGAATACCAATGCTCTTATATAATTATGTTATGTAATTTATTAGAAGTATTTAAGCCAATTGGATGATGCCATGTGCACTATCGAAATTTAAAATTTCAAAAAACATGAGAAAATTAGAGTAAGACTTCCAACCTCAAAGAGACTGGAACGTTTTTGTTTATATTATATAATATGGAAAATAAATCAAAATTTTAAATGATAATAACAATTAAACACTACTTCATAATTTTAAATTAATAACAATGAAATACTACTTCGGTTTGTTTACTATAATTGTTAAAGATAGATCCATACAATACATATTAGTCATGACCTATCAAGTTAATTTTGAAATTTTATTGTACACAGTTCTATTTATTTGGTTCAAAGTTTACATTTAATTTTTTTTATTATTATAAATTCTTCTATCATTTTTTTTAAAAGCTAAGAAATATATGTAGCATTAAACTATTGAGACATCTAGCCATATATCTAATTTAAAAAGTTGAAAATCTTTTAAATAGAAAATTTAAAATAGAATTTTATTCATTATTAAGCCCATCTCATTTGAAATTTAAAAATTTTGAAAATTTAAAAAATAAAATATGAAATTTAGTAATGCTATGGTGACCATATTTGATAGTATCTGATCTAATACTTTAAAGACAATAATTTTATGTATCATGTGACGCCTATCAAATAATTTGATTAATGTCATTTAATATGTTATAATATATGCTACTAAAATCTGATATCAAAATATGATCACATAATATTACACATTTTAAAAATCTATATAAAAAATATCATTTGAAATGAGAGTTATA